TGAGCCAGTAAAATGCCGGAGTTCCTAATAATAGTACAAGTTACACGGAAAATCAGTACTGTCAAACAGTATTATATTAGTAGTGGATCGGACGTTAACTACGGCTGTTTACAAAAATTTCTGCCTGGGCAGTGCAGGGGTTTCAATTTGCAAAAGAATTTTAGGTACTACATTAATTTTTAAACATAATTTAATGATTTTATAAACTTTTGAATGAATATAATTTATTTTAAATTAAATTTTTTATAAAAATAAAAAAAATAAAAATTGAAAATGTGATTTTTGTATAGAATTATTGATTTTTTTAATAAATAGATAATAGATTGAAACTTCTGAGAAAAATGTATCCCAATTTAAAAAAAGAAAGAGCAAAATCGGTCAGTTGGTTTAAAAGTTAGAGCAACTTTTCAGAATTTGAAAAGTTGGTATCAATTCTGGCGTGAGCGATTGCTGCCGCGTGTCGCTGGATTCCCCCACTCCGCCCACCTAAAGGTACACTCTCACCTCACTGCCTGCCTGCCTGCGCAGGCAGGCGCCATAAGAGTGAGAGAGAAAAAACATTTAATTTGAATTTTCTGACTCTCTTACTCTTATGTGTTACCATGTCAACCTGCAGGCAGGCAGGCAGACAGTAGGAGCTGTGCTAGCGCCTTAAGGAAGGTAAAATCTCGCACACACTTTTACCTCTATTTTAAACAACTAAATAGTGCAGTATGGATTCCATAATTTGTTTGGTAATAGTGTTGTTAAGAATCTTTATATTTGTATAAAAAAAATTTTAAAATGTTAATAAATAAAATGTCACGATTAGAAATATTTAAAAAAATTATTCCCCCCCCCCCTTGGAGTTAGGTGCAATTTTTTTCTTTTAAAATTTCAAAAAAATATGTTTAATTAAATTACTTTTTTTCCCGATATTATGAAACAAAAATTGGCTGAGATACGCTTAATTGTTTATAGTGGGAAATATTACCTCTTTTCTGCAACTATTTTTATGCAAATAAACAAGAAAAATCATTTAGTGTGTATATGTAAAGGATAGATCTCATCTTCGCAAGTGAAACGATATTTTGAAAAATGTGATTTTTTGAGTTTCCTTCATTTTTCATACATAAAAAGAAACATTGTTTTTAGTAAACAAAAATGGATTTATTTAAAAACTATTTATCCCATTGGGCTCAAATTTGATACACTCTTTAAAGGTATCAAGGGCAATACTTTCTGTCAGTTTAAAAGTCATCTTATTAAAATTAAACAAATTATTAAACAATTAAGAAATTGCAATTTTTATCTGTTTAAATTAATTTTCTCATGAACAAATAATTGAAAATTATCTTGCGACCTATCATTTTATAGGTCTTTTTAAGCTCTATCTCATTAAAATTAAACAAATTATTAAACAATTAAGAAATTCCAATTTTTATCTGTGTAAATAAATAAATATTTATTAATAAATTTATTTATTATTATTATTCTTATTATTTATTATTATTTATGTATATTTATATTATTAATATTTATTATTTATTATTATTTATTATTTATTTTTTATTATTTATTATTTATTTTTTATTATTTATTATTTATATTTATTAATAAATATTACTTCGTGTTTTGCATTTAATTTTAATGAGATAGAGCTTAAAAAGACCTATAAAATGATAGGTCGCAAGATAATTTTCAATTATTTGTTCATGAGAAAATTAATTTAAACAGATAAAAATTGCAATTTCTTAATTGTTTAATAATTTGTTTAATTTTAATAAGATGACTTTTAAACTGACAGAAAGTATTGCCCTTGATACCTTTAAAGAGTGTATCAAATTTGAGCCCAATGGGATAAATAGTTTTTAAATAAATCCATTTTTGTTTACTAAAAACAATGTTTCTTTTTATGTATGAAAAATGAAGGAAACTCAAAAAATCACATTTTTCAAAATATCGTTTCACTTGCGAAGATGAGATCTATCCTTTACATATACACACTAAATGATTTTTCTTGTTTATTTGCATAAAAATAGTTGCAGAAAAGAGGTAATATATTTCCCACTATAAACAATTAAGCGTATCTCAGCCAATTTTTGTTTCATAATATCGGGAAAAAAAGTAATTTAATTAAACATATTTTTTTGAAATTTTAAAAGAAAAAAATTGCACCTAACTCCAAGGGGGGGGGAAATAATTTTTTTAAATATTTCTAATCGTGACATTTTATTTATTAACATTTTAAAATTTTTTTTATACAAATATAAAGATTCTCAACAACACTATTACCAAAAAAATTATGGAATCCATACTGCACTATTTAGTTGTTTAAAATAGAGGTAAAAGTGTGTGCGAGATTTTACCTTCCTTAGGTGGGCGGAGTGGGGGAATCCAGCGACACGCGGCAGCAATCGCTCACGCCAGAATTGATACCAACTTTTCAAATTCTGAAAAGTTGCTCTAACTTTTAAACCAACTGACCGATTTTGCTCTTTCATTTTTTAAATTGGGATACATTTTTCTCAGAAGTTTCAATCTATTATCTATTTATTAAAAAAATCAATAATTCTATACAAAAATCACATTTTCAATTTTTATTTTTTTTATTTTTATAAAAAATTTAATTTACAATAAATTATATTCATTCAAAAGTTTATAAAATCATTAAAATATGTTTAAAAATTAATGTAGCCCAAAAAAATTTCACATTTTTCAAAAATTAACTATTTAGTGCAAATAGCGCGAAATCAGCGAAATCGCATGGGAACCGCGCTTTTTATCGTTGTCTGCCTCGATGTTATCATCCGAATTTTTGTCTGCCAATTGACATATAGCTTCCATAAGAGTTCATTAACTATTTCCATTAATTTTTAGCCATGACTCTTATGATCATTTTTTCACTACGGATTACGCAACTTTGACACTGTCTGCCAATACTTTGTCGTCCAAAAAATTGTCTGCCAAAATTTTATAAGCTTACTGGTGATAAATACTTTTAAATTTTATAACTTTTATCCATGACCTTTATCACATGTTTTCCTTATCAAATTTATCATTTTCGACCGTCAATTCGCGGGCTTAATCTTCCAGAACGCGCAGGCAGACTTCGCATTCGGTACTCAGGGACTCAAATGGAACCTATCTAAATATTAATTTTTCATGTACCTTATAACATGCATTTTTATGTAGCCAGCTCTCCGTCTATTAGGTTTAAACGCGTTTTTCTCAAAATAACGTTTTTTCAAATTGCGGACACTTTATCTCTGAATCTACTGAACCGATTTTAATAAATAATAAGTCGTTTTGTTTGTTAGCATGTCCTGTGTGTGAATTCACCAGAAAATAGTCAAAAAATTAAAAAAAAACATTTTGGCATACTAGAAAAATACTGAAAAACATAGTGTATTTTTAAAAAAATTATTGAAACATCTGCTATTTTTTTATTTTAGTCGATTTTTCATTAATGGTGGTGGATTTCTATGCAAGACACCTTCCTTTTTAAAAAGCAGATTGGATTTTTTGTTTCCGATTTGTCAATCTTGAGATAAACTGTCCGCAATTATGATATTAAATAAAAATTAAAAACAAACCATTATTTTTATTCTCCAAATGTGTACTAAGATAGGCAAAAAAGTTTTTACATATTTACAATAAACGACCTAAGAAAAAAATGTGGTCTTTTAAGAGCCTTCTAAAGTGTAGTAGTACCTTAAATTTATTTTTCAAATAATAATAATAATTTTATAATAATTATTTAACAAAAGCAGGGATCACATTATAGCTTTTTTCCTTAAAATGGGTGAAAGAGAGAATTATTTTCTAAAAATATGTGACAAAGTGCCAAGAAAAATATAAAATAAAGTAATATGTTTAACAAATAATAATTTGTAGATATTTATTCACATTTTCATTAATTTTACTACGACAAAAGAATAAAAAGTTAAAAATTTATATAGATAGAAATAAAATTTGCGAGATAAATTGAATTATTATCAATCGTTTAAAACTTAAATCAATTAAAATCTGGGTAAAATAAAATAAAAATTAATGAACTATAAATTGACATTTCTATATTCTTAAAGTTTTTTAATAATAAAATTTTTTTTCATAAATATGATTTTTATGAATAATATGTATTCAATATGTAATCCACAAAAATCATTTTAAGAAAATGTTTCGAAAAATAATTTATCAAATTTCTAATAAATTTTTCCTAATATATAAATAAATAAAAAATATAGGTACACAAATTGAAATTTCTAAGGATTGAATTGTAAATTAATAAAAATTTAAATTGTTTTAAGTTTGGAAAAATTGAAATTCAAATCAATTAAATTTGAGCTTATTTAAAAAAATAAGATGAATTTATAGATTAAAAATTTGACTTATTAAATTCCGAGTTCATTGGGATATACCTATATAAATAAAAGTTATTTTTTAATTTAATTCTATTAATTATTACAAATATTTGTGTTCAAAGAAGAATTATGCAACTAGTTTTGATTTAAATTATTTGAAAAATTACCAAAATAGGCGAAATAGGTGCCAAAATTTAAAAAAGGTGAAAAATAAGGTTAAAAGATGATAGTCTGTGATCCCTGCTTATGTTAAATAGTTCCATTTTATATATTTTACTTAATAATTAGCTTTTTTGATAATCAGTAAAAATTTATGTTTTTTTCGAATTCACAATACAAAGGGCTTTTTTTTATTATTATATGAAAGTTTGCGTAATTATATATAATTCTATTTTTTAAAACATTTTATGTATCAATTCATGTACTCTTTTCTTTATTTAATCTTGAGAAACTTGTGAGAATGTGATTTTGCATAAAAGGGAAAGAGAAAGTAAGAAAGAGCACGGCATATGACGCAAACCATATAAATTGGAAGCATATAAGTTTTAGATTTGTTTCCTTTATTTTTTATATATAGTTGACAAAAATTTATATCTACACTTATTTTTAATTTTTAACTCAGCATTATTTTATTTTACATTCGTTATTTCATTTCAGCAAAGACAACAAACAAGAAGCAGTGAATGATGTCTAATAGAAAAAGAAATCCAATATAAACTTCGATGATGTAATAAAGAAATAATATTACGAAGAGGAAAAGGAAAGAAGTAAAAATTTCATGGAGATGAAACTCTATGAAATTTAAAAATAATGGGTTGAAGTTACCGTTCCTTGACTGATGCATAAAATGCCAATTACTCTATTTTTGAAAAAAGGAATTTTGTAAAGAAAATACAAAAAAAAAACTTATTTAATTAATCAAAAGACTGTAGAGTGTGTGGATCCATTGGAAAAAACAATACATATCATTATAATTGATGGCCAAAATCAGTTTCTAAAAACATTTTTAAAGACTCGTTCGATTAAAAATTAAAGTTTATATTTTTTTCAAAATCAGTACATTTTAAACTAATATTTCTAAGTTAATTGAATATTTGACAACCTTTAAAATTCTGCAACTGGGAAATTTAGAAAGAAAATTATTATTAAAACAATGGATGTTTATAAAATTGACCAATCTCTTACTGCCAATTTGGGCAGTACTACAGCACCGGATACTCTTAGTCCAGAAGTGTCCTTCAATACAGGAAGTGAATTTAATTTAAGTTTTTTTGATGGACCTGAAGAAAATAGTACACAAGGTTTTAGTGATCCAGGTTCTGTTGGCAGTGCGAGTGTTTCACCACCACCTGTGATTTCTGGTAGTACAGTTACATCGACCACCATAACATTACCAACTGCTCAATTACCATCAGGAATTGTCATCAAACAAGGTTGGTTTTTACATCTGATGTTGAAAAGTTTCCGCGATCTTCATCTATCACTAACGCTTCTAAGTCTAACCATTTCTTATTCTACTTTTCCTACTATACAAATACATATTATTTATTGAGTGAATACTATTTTATGAAAAATATGTAGCTTTGTTAATAAAATATTTAGAGTCGTAACTAAATCGTATGAATTATTAATGTGTTGTATTATAAATTATGTATTCGTATACATATATATGTTTATCTGATTTTTATAAGACCTAAACAGTATTTATGTATTTAACTCAGTTAACAAAACATTTTCCTCTCACTTCCGCCCTTATCCGTTTATTTTGTGAATTCTTTTATTTATTTTAATGAATTAAATTAGATCTTTGTCTGTATCCCAGTGGGCACACGGATGTCTATTCGTGGGATATCCTTAGTACATTGTGAGAAAACATCTTTAAAATATCCTAAAGATATCTTAACAATGTCTTAAAAAAGATATCCTGAAGATGTCTTAAGGGGTCATTCACATATTACGTGATAAATATTTTAGGTATTTTAGACCCCCTCCCCCCCTGCGTGATACTTTTTCTATAGTTTAGTATAGAAAATTTGTTAAAGCGTGATACTTAGCTGACCCCCCTCCCACCCCTAAATGTATCACGTAATATGTGAATGACCCCTTAAAAGGCAGACTTTAAGGCGTCTTAATCAAATTCTATGTCTGGCCTGAAGACGTCCAAATATGTCATGGATATTTTCAGGAAGTATTTGGGACATTCTCAGGAAATGTTGAGGACATTTTTAGGACATGTTTTGGACACTTTCAGGACACATTGAGTGTCCTTCAAATTTTACCAAAGACATTCTCAGGACACACTGAGGACATGTTTGTGACATTCTCAGGACACGTTGAGAACATTTTTAGGACATATATGAAACATTCTCTGGAGATGTTTAGAACGCCTAAAATGTTGAACAAAATTTCCAAAAATGTTCAAATCTCGTTCTAAACATATCCACAGAATGTCTCATATATGTCCTAAAAATGTTCTCAACGTGTCCTGAGAATGTTACAAACATGTCCTAAAATGTCCTCAATGCGTCCTGATAATGTCCCACACATGTCCTAAAATGTGTCCTGAAAATGTCTCAAGCATGTTCTAAAAATGTCCTAAATATATCCTCAATATGTCCTGAGAATGTCCAAATCATATCCTAAAAATGTTCCAAATATAACAAAAATACGTCCCTAAAGTGTCTTATGGACATTCTAGAAAAATTTTAAAGACGTCTCTGAGTCAGACATAAAACGTCCTATGGACCGCTTATGGTCGTATTTTCATACTCCAAGGACATGAAAAGTTAACCTGGACATTTTAGAACATTCTTATAGCAGAGAAATACTGCAAAAAGAAGTATCTTAATTTAAGATATATGTTTTGGTAGATACTTTTTAGTTATTTGAAATATCTTAATTTAAGATGTTAAAAGTATCTTCGTACACATTCTAAATAAAATTTTCTGTTTGTAATTACGTGTAGGGGAAATTGGGTCGAAACCGGGTACTAAAAAGTAATTTACTGTTTATAAAAAACTAAATGACCATTTTACTCAATTTACTTTGATAAAATTCTTAATTGAACAATTAACAGCTTGTGACTGTTACATCTCCAATGCTAATTTCTCGATCTTTTTTCTCTTAATATCATTAATAAATTGTGCTGATATTTTGTAAGGAAGTCTAAAATATAATGCGAAAAGGCAGTGAGGGGCAAAAGTTTATATATTTTCAAAATTTATTATTTTTATAAAACACTTTGAAGTTGATAAAAAAAGTGAGACTTAGAGTGACCGTATCTAAACTGATAATTTTAGGGGAAAAAAAAGTAGTTTTAGAACAATTTATACCGTATATCAGAAAATATAGAAAAAACATATATTTTTAAAGATTAATCAATTTCATTATTTTATGAGTCTGCATTTACCAAAAGATGTAAAGTTTCTAAATATGTAGGGGAGATTGGGGTATTGTGGGCCACACTTTTTCTTAGCTCAATATCTTACACAAAAAATTTTTCTTTTCAAATTTTTATTTTCAGTAGAAGGTCTCAGTTTCCCAAAATTATCACTTATCTAAAAGAAATTTCAGTTTTACCAAAGAGTGCACTTTTATGATTTTTAAAAATGTTGTGGAATTGTGGGCCACTGCCTAAATTAAGTTCAAAATCACAATTTAGGCAAGTATAAAATAGGCTCAATTAATTACACATTTTAAGTGAACAGCTCTATCGCATGAATCGCAATGAATAGAATTGTTTTTGTTAACCCAATCAGCACATAAGCTTGCTATGCAAGATGTGCAAGCTTACAGAGCAAGCTCGTGACAAGTTTTTGGCAAGTAACAAAATGTCCTATTTCTGCAAGCTTGCACTGCAATCTTGCTACAAGATTATGATATAAGCTTGCTGCAAGTTTGTGAGGCAAGTTTTCGACAAACTTATTTGGCAAACTTGCTACAAGTTTGCCGGATAAACTTGCTACAAAGTTGCTATGGTATTTACGGCTGCGCAGTAAATTTCTTTGCCACCTAGCTATGTTGCTGAGTGTATATTTTGAAATTTATAATAAAATCTCCAGAAAAAATTAAAATTGATTTAATTAAATTGTATATACTTGTTCAACATGCTTGCAATAAGCTTACTGCAAGCTTACACTACAAACTTGTAGCAAGTTTGCCAACTAAGCTTGTCGTACACTTGCCTCAAAAGCTTGCAGCAAGCTTACATCATAATCTTGTAGCAAGATTGCAGTGCAAGCTTGCAGCAATAGGACATTTTGTTACTTGCCACAAACTTGTCACAAGCTTACTCTGTAAGCTTGCATACCTTGCACAGCAAGCTTAATGCAAGTTTGTGGCAAGCTTATGTGCTAATTGGGAAATTACTATAGCTATGAGTGATTTTAATATTATATACCTGCGCATTGTGCAATTAAATCGCCAAAAACAAGCAGCTAATACTACCCCAAAAAAGTGTCCCACAATTCCCCAAATGCTTCATTTTACAAAAAGCTTTGTATTATTTATTCATTTTAATTTCATGCAAAATTTCTTTTTGGAGTCAAAGTACCAATGACACACAATAATTAAAAAAATATTTCCCATAATTAATTCTTGAAAATCCTTGTAAAAACAATAAAAACATGAAGGCCCAAAATAAATATTTGAATGCAATTTTATAGGTGAATTTTGTTTACGGTTTATAGGTAATTGTAAAGCGTTGTAAAGTCATGAAATGCTAATGGAAAATATACTATTTTAGTCATAAAAAACATATTAGTTTTCAAACATCAAAATTTAAGTGGTTTTAGTCAATTTATTTTGTTTTTAAACAAAAGTGACAAATGAAATTAAGTTCATCGATGATACAGGTTTCATAAGACCACTTTCGTTGACAATAAAAAAAATCACAGAATCCAGTCTTCGGTGCAATTAGAATATACCCAGTGTGCACGTACTATAACTGTTCTAGACCAAAAAAAGAACAGTGTTCTAGAATAAGTGTTACAATTTTATTATAGAACAGTTCTAGAGCTTTGTTCTAAATTTTTTCTGAAACAGTTGTTCTGTATCTGTTCTATAACAGACATGTAACATTTGTTCTAAATTAGTTATAGAATTTTGAAGTAACATTGTTCCTACAGTGTTCAAGAACACTGTTACAAAAATTTAATATAACTGTTCTTTCACTATAAACTCGTGTTTATTTTCACTACACGGAAAGATGTTATTATTAAATTTTATAAAAGTATTTTACAAGTGTAGGACAAAATGCGACAAACGAAAATTTTGCTATCAACAAAACTAACACAGTAAATCTTAATTTAAGATCGGTCTTAAATTCAGCACTGTCTGCTATAATGTTAAAGGATTCAAAAATGTTGTATCTTAATTTAAGGCTGCTTTCCTGCTTTAAAATAAGACTTTCTTTTTACTATGAAACTTTAACAAAACGTACCTATATAAAATTTAGTAAAGTTATATTAAAATTTGTTAAAAGTTTTCGATATTTGATATAACTTTACTAAATATAGTATAATTTTTATTAAAGTTTAATACTTCTAATATAATAAGTAATATAATAACTTTCTTTCCGTGTAGAGTGCAGCCGCGTTTTTGCATGAATTACAAAAAATCTTTTGAATTTAGATACTTAGAAAGACTCGTATCGATGATTCGTGAAAAATTAAATAATTTTTCACTGTCAGCTTGCATAAATTTTCAAGATTTTTAAAAACATTATTCACCAACAATAACATCAAATATTTAATTAATTTACTAGCTCCTCCGACGGCCGCAAGCGGCCATCTACGGTGCTAGTTTTTATATGTCCATTGTCCAAGTCCATTATTTCATTAATAATAATATTCAAATTTTTTCAGTTAATAATTTGCTTATTTATATTTGAAATTTTTATATTTGAATTTTTTTAAAATTAATACTTGGAGTTTTGCACATCAATACAGGGTAATTTAATTTTCCCAAAATTTTGAGAACATTCTTGAATTTGCAATTGTTTTGAAGAATTGTTAATAACAATTTTAAAATTTCATTTTTTAACAATCCCTTTATTTTATCATTAAAGTATAGACTTTAAGCTTTAATTTAAAAAAATTACTTAATTATTACTTCCTCATAGAGGAAGTATTGTAATACCAAAATTTTTCGAGTTCGATTTTTTGATATATATTTATGTTATTTGACCTCAGGAGTTGCGGACATAAAGTGAGAGTACTTTGTCATAGATTAATAAAGTTTAACTAATTTTTTTTTGGATTTTTAATTTTCCAAAAACACGTTTTTGCCCATAACTTTAAAAAAATGTTAGGACACCTATAAATGTTTTTCCATAATTTTGTAGAGTTTTTTTAAACGCATCTTTTGAGTCCTAATTGAACATTTTTCGTCCATATTAACCGGAGATATTAAACGTTTAAAAATCATAAATTTT